CACAAAATCCCTATATGATCTTGAGTTGAATGAATCTTACATTAGTGGTGACTCACATACGGGGCAAGCTTATGGTGCTTAGAGCCGGACTTGTGACCTTTCTTTGAAAGAGATGAGTGTGTTTCCACTATCCTCGTTCTGAGTGTTACAATCTAAAAGTGAGGTTTGCTTAGAGAGGTAAGGATGTATGAGTTTGGGTTCCACAATGGCCAAAGTAGTAGAAAGAGTTTCCTTGATTGGTTGAGTCAATTCTTGATGCTCTTGTGTCGCACTAAAACCATGGTGCTTAAAAGGTCGAATGTTGTTAATGATTCATTTGAATTAAGGGCAATTGTTAGTCCCAATTGATGCTAGATGAGGTCACTTTAGGTCAGCTGAATTTTCTTGGATTTACTCTTAAGGAGGTGGGTCTTATTTTGTCTGCTTGAGGACAAGCAAAAGCTTAAGTTTGGGGGAGTTGATAACTAGGGATTCTAGTTCATTTTACACTCCTTTTTACTTGAGTTTTGATTAAAAATGTATACAAAATAGTCCCAAAGGCTTACATGTTGTACTTGTTTGCAGGGTTTGGTCAAAAAGGTGACTATTAGTCAAAACCAGCTCAAAAAGGAGAGAAACATGCACAAGTACCAAGAACAAATCAAAGCACAGCTGCAACAAGACCACCGCGGCCGCAAGCCATTTAGTGTAGTCCGCAGTGAGGAGATTCAAAGAGGTGCACTTTTGGAGCCTAAGGCAATGCGGACTGCAGAGGAGTTCGTGCGGTCGCAGCCCATTTTGTGCGGTCCGCAAAGATGGGGGTTCAGAGAGTTGGGAGTTTGGAGATTAAGGCCAATGCGGTCCGCGGTCCTTTTTGTGTGGACCACAGTTGAAGCCACCGCGTTCACGGTGCATTTTATGCGGCCCGCGGTGGCCAGATTTAGAGAATGATTAATTAAGCCAAGAAGCCTCATTACGGTCCGCGGTGCATTTTGTGGGGACCGCAGTACCTCGTCATGGGTATTTTTGTCCAGAAAATTTGGCCTAGTATAAATACTTTCTTTTCACATTTTAGGGTATCTTTTGTAATCCGCAAGAGACCAGAGCATGTGAACGGCTGTATTAGGCTATTTTGAGTAATTTGTAACACTGAATCTTCTTTATCTTAGTTTGTAATTAAATCATATGGGTTATTCTTCATCTATTTCTCTGTTTTCTTCTATTATTATGAGTAGCTAAACCCATTAGCTAGGGTTGTGGCTCAACCCTATTGTGGGTATTTGATGGGTCTTTTGATTTAAGGCTTAGATGTTTATGGGTAGTTGATATTTGGACTGATTTGTGTTTTTCATGTTGAATTAGTGGTTGCAAACACTAATTTGTGCCTATTTGACTTGGGTTCTTCTTGAGAAAGAGAGCTTGAGTCTAGGAAAATCAGTCCAACAAGGAATTGGGGTGTAATCAAGAGATTGATAGCCCCAATAAAAGGGTTAAACCTAGAGATAGTAATACCCGACATGAGCCTATATTGCTTGCACAATTTAGACACCCAATTGTTCTTGAGAAAGTCAATTAGGGCAAAGTCACTCAAGCTAACGAGAGGTATAGAGTGATTAATTCCGTGCATTGGCTATATCACAATCCCCAACATAATGTCTCTGCCTTAGGCTTTAGATCCCGTCAAGTATTCACCTAGGAGAAAGTCACTTCCATATTGCCTCTTTAACTATTTAGAAAACCATACAAGGAATCATTCTTAGTTTAATTTAGCATACTATTAGCATAAATATTAGAAGTAATAACCAACCAAAAGATGATTGGAAGAGTAATTAAGAGCATTACACATTTCTAGTTTAGATAGGAATCCAATTCTCACTTCTAGCTCCCTGTGGATTTGATCCCGACCATCTGGGGTAAAAACTGCTTCGACCCGCTCTCGCCACTTTGTAGTGGTGTAAGGTTGGAACTGATCACCCACATCCATGTTACTACAGCTAGCCGACCGAATGGTAAAGAGCCCATCAGGTATACTTGATGATGTACTAGTGCAGGTTGAAAAGTTTTTATTTCCGACAAATTTTGTCATTCTGGACTGCCGGGTTAACGAGAAGATTTCCATAATTTTGGGAAAGCCATTTTTGGCCACTGGGAGAGCTCTAATTGATTGTGAAACTAGGGAGCTAAAGATGAGACTACACAATGAAGAGATAACATTCAATATGTAGATGTCTATGTAGTGACCCAATGAATTTGCTAACTGCTCTCTGATAGAAGTTGTGGATGTGATTTGGAGGAGGAAGATGAGGCTCTAAACACTAAAGACCCTCTAGCAGCCTGCCTCACGAACTTAGAAGAGGTAGATGGTGAGTACTTGGCGGAGTTGGTTTTGGCCCTTGAAGGCCAAGGGTACTGGAAAAGAGAACTCGAATTCGAGCCCTTACACTTAGAAGAAAGAAAGATCCCTCCAGCTAAGCCATCAATTGAAGAGCCACCACAGTTTGAGCTAAAACTATTACCGTCACACCTCAGGTATGCTTCCTTGGGACCTAACTCAACTTTACTTGTTATTATCTCATCTAGTTTGTTAGATGTGCAGGCAGAACAACTTTTGCAGGTGTTAATGGAGTGCAAGACTGCAATTGGTTGGACCATCACAGATATTAAGGGTATCAGCCCGACATTTTATATGCATAATATTCTACTGGAAGATGGGCACAAACCTTCCAAAGAACATCAAAGAAGGTTGAACCCCAACATGAAATAAGCGGTGAAGAAAGAAGTGATCAAGTGGTTAGATGCGGGAATCATCTTCCCCATCTCTGACAGTAACTGGGTCAGTCTAGTTCAGTGTGTGCCAAAGAAAGGCGGAATGACAGTGGTGCAAAATAAGAACAATGAGTTGATCTTAACAAGAAACAATCACGAGATGGCAAATTTGTACGGACTACAGAAAATTAAACAAGGCCACCCGAAAAGACCACTTTCTGCTACCATTCATTGATCAGATGTTAAACAGATTAGCGGGGAGGTCCTGTTTTTGCTTCCTAGATGGATACTCGGGGTATAACCAGATCTCTATTGCTCTAGAGGATAGACAGAAAACGGCGTTCACCTGCCCGTATGACATCTATGCCTTTCGGAGAATGTCGTTTGGCCTATGCAACGCACCCACCACATTCCAAAGGTGCATGATGGCCATATTCACATATATGGTAGAGGAAATAATGGAGGTTTTGATGGATGACTTCTCAGTGGTAGGGAAGTCATTCGATGATTTCCTTATGAACTTGAAAAGAGTATTAAAGAGGTGTATAGAGACTAGTCTAGTATTAAATTGGGAAAAATGTCATTTCGTGGTACAGGAAGGTATAGTCTTGGGGCACCTAGTGTCAAGTGAGGGCATTGATGTGGATCATGCAAACGTTAATGTAATAGAAAAGTTTCCACCACCCACTTCCGTCAAGGCAATAAGAAGTTTCCTTGGCCACGCCGGTTTCTATATGCAGTTTATAATAGATTTTTCCAAAATTGCTAACCCTTTATGTAAATTGCTTGAAAAAGATCACCCTTTTGTGTTTTCTGATGACTGTAGGGTAGCTTTTTGAGGAATTGAAGAAGAGGTTGGTAACTGCACATATCATAGTTGCGCCTGACTGGGAGCAACCATTTGAGCTGATGTGTGATATAAACGACTATGCTATGGGAGCAGTTCTTGGGCAGCGAAAAGATAAAGTCTTTCATCCAATCTACTAAGCAAGTAGAACCTTGAGTGGTGCGCAACTAAATTACACATTGACCGAGAAGGAGATGCTAGCAGTGGTGTTCGCATTTGACAAATTCAGGTCATAACTGATAGGCTCAAAGGTAATTGTTTATACTGACCATGCTGATCTCAGGTATTTAATTGAGAAGAAGGAGTCAAAGCCGCGCCTGATTCGATAGGTGCTACTGCTGCAAGAATTTGACTTGGAAATCTATGACCAAAAGGGAATGTAGAACCAAGTGCATGATCACTTGTTTAGGCTGGAAGGAGCAGAGAAGGAGGTGGACATGGACGAGATTGTTGATACTTTCCCAGATGAACAACTATTAGCCATGAGCCTTGAGGTAGCGCCATGGTATGCAGACATTTCAAACTACTTGGCGAGTGGTATTGTCCCCCATGACCTTTCCTCTGTCCAAAGAAAAAGTTCTTTCGTGACTGTCACATGTATTGTTGGGATGAGCCTTATCTGTTTAGGATTTGTGTTGATAACATGATCTAGAGATTTATCCTCGAGATAGACCAATCTTCCATTTTGCAGGCTTGTCACGCATCATCATATGGTGGCCATTTTGGGGGAGTAGGGACAGCTGCAAAAGTGTTGGAGTCGGGCTTCTACTGGCCGATAGCGTTCAAGATTCACACCTCTGGGTGAAGGGTTGTAATGAATGCCAATGGACCGAGAATATTTCTAGCCGATATGAGATGCTCATGAACCCAATTTAGGAAATGGAAGTGTTTGACGTATGGGGAATCAATTTCATGGGGCTTTTCGTCAACTCATATGGCAACAAGTATATACTTGTAGCTATGGACAGAGTATATACTTGTAGCTGTGGCACTCCCTACAAATGATGCAAAGGGAGTCATTGGTTTCCTAAGAAAGAATATATTCACCTGATTTGGCACTCCAAGGGCAATAATCAGTGACGAAAGCACTCACTTCTGCAACCGAGCTTTCGCAAAGTTGTTAGAAAAATATGGTGTTAGCCACAAGGTTGCCACCCCATATCATCCACAAACAAGCAGCCAAGTGGAAGTGTCGAATAGAGAAATCAAGAGTGTGTTGACAAAGACCGTAAATGATACAAGAACAGATTGGGCGAAAAGGTTAGACGATGCACTCTGGGCCTATTGTACCACTTTTAAAGCTCCAATTGGCATGTATCCATATAAACTGGTATTTGGGAAAGCGTGTCACTTAACCGTAGAGTTAGAGCATAGAGGTTTGTCGGCATTAGGGTAGCTGAATCTCGACATGGAAATAACGGGTACACATAGAGTCACAGAGTTGCATGAGCTTGAAGAGTTCCGTTACCATGTTTTTGAGAGTACAAGGCTATATAAGGAGAGAATGAAGATGATGCATGACAAAAATATTCTTGAACGAGATTTTAAACCTGGAGACATGGTATTGCAATACAATTCAAGATTGAAGTTGTTTCCGAGCAAGTTGAAGTCTAGATGGTTGGAACAATTCAGAGTAGTGTATGTGCTATCAAATAGGGCTGTAGAAATTGAGTCCGAGGATGGGACGAATAGGTTTAGAGTCAATGGGCAAAGGTTGAAACACTACCCAGGAATGAGTGACGAAAAAGGATAGAAAGATATGATACAATTGAACGAACCTCAATATGTGAGTGAAGTATAATCCAGAAAGTCTGCGTCATGCCGTGACGTTAAATCAGACGCTTCGTGGGAGGCAACCCATTGTAATGTTGTATTCGTCATCTGTGACATTAACTAAGGCGCTCATTGGGAGGCAACCCAATTCGTAGTTTATTTTAGCGTAACTAGAATTTTTCTTTTTGGTTTTAGGAACTAACATATTTGTAGGCAACACTAGTGGACCGGGCAGGAGACCTCGCAGTGCCAGGTTCCTAGCACGCTTAGCCAGGCTACATGGCTTGCGTCGCCAGCTATCCTTCGCGTATTGAAGCTCACCTAGACAGGGGTATAGCAAGGTGTATCTCACGGAATCCCTCGCGTTGTACGCCTCCCATATTGTGTTTGAGCTCGCCTCGCAAGGTAAGTGGTTCGCATCCGTCTTCACAGCGCAACGTAGGTTTTCTTCTTTTATTTTCCTTTTATTTTGTTTCTTCTAACTTGTTCCCTTAAAAATCCAACTTAAACAGCACTGAAGACAAATGCCTAAAAAGAAAAAAAAGTCTCACACCTCAAAAACACACGGCCCGCCCCAAAAATTTTCTTCTCTATTGCCTGCCCCAATTTCCCTCTCCCCCTCCCACACAAACCCCATTGAAGACAAGTATTCCTCGATTCCTTCACTCACTTGCAACATTAATTCAAGAATAATCCCTCCTCCTAAGCATCTAAGGTATGGTTTCTAACTCTTTTCTTTGCCAAATTTCAAATTGTGTAAAGGCATGAAATCAGATAACTTTTAGGGTTGTTCTTTATAGTAACAATGTGTTTGTTTATCCTACACCCATAAACCCCATAGGAATGGTATCATTGTTGTATGCAAAAGTGGTAGCACGGAATTCCCAAGCCGATTTGGGAGGGTGAGGCAATCCCTCATTCCTACAAGCACTTCCATGGCAATAGTGCATGCTAAGTGTTTATCAAAATGCCTCAAAGGTAGTCTTTGTCCCTATTGGAGCCCGAGTCTCCGGGATTGTAATACTAGTTCTATGTCGTCATGCACCACTTGGAATTTTAAGTGTGGGGTGGCTCACCGGTAGCTCTGTACTTTGAAATTGTAGACGACATCTTTGTATCATTGCTTGAATTTCATGCTAAAAGAATGAGGTGACGTCTGAGTAGCCTCGCAAAATTATTGAACATCATGTGATGAACTCTTAAGTGCGGGGTTGCAAGATCATGTTTTGAAATGTTGCAATGCGTCTAAAACTGATTAATGTTCACTTGTGTAGGTACGAACATGCCTCCAAAGAAGGATACTGGTAAAGGCAAGGCAAAGCCACTGCTCCGTCCAAGGCTAAGGCTCCCTCCGCACCTCCACCGAAAAAGAGAAAAGGGGGAAGCCATATCAAGTCAGGTTGAAGGACTGCAAGCCGTTGCAGCTATAGCAGCCACTCGTCCACAACCTCAGGGCCAACGGGAATTTGGAATCAAGGGCATACCCCCACATGTCAAGGACTGGTACAAGCTTTGCTGGCCGACACATATACATCCCGAGGCAGCTGTTCATGAGCGTCGTCTATTGATACCCAATTTTTCCCATAATATTTTTAAATTATGCCTGGGCATCAACTAGTATTTTTCATACAATTTTTGCATTTTTAAATATTTAAACTAATTTCTTCCAGCATTTATTTTTATAAAACAATCATTAAATTGCATCACAAAAATAGTTTTAATAATTTTTTGTGACTTAATTTTATCATTTGCATTCATATTAAGTTTTAATTATTGCACAAATAGCCACATCTGTATTTTAAGATGCAATTGCAATTACTTTGCAATTATAGCCTATGCATGCATTATTACATTATTTTACCGAAAATAGCCTTTTATATTTTTTTAAATCTTAAGTATTTACTTTAAAACATTTCCATGCATGAAAATCATTTTTATAATTTATTAACCATTTTTAAAAAAATTATTTTAACAATTAATTACGTATTTAACAAATAGCCCCTTTTTTATTTAAAATCTAACCTATTAACCAGCTCAATACCCTTTTAATACCAGCCCAATACCCCTTTAATATCAGCCCAATTTACCTAAGCCCAAATCTACACCTACCCGACCCAAGATCCCCATCAAATCGTGGCCGTTGATCTAAAATCAACGGTCCATATCAATACTTGCCTTTTTTTAATCAAACAACCCCCTAAACCCTAATCGTTTCCTCCATACGGCCACCCTTGGATCCCCTCCTCTCTGGTTCTCTTTAAAACCAACCCCTAACCCTAATCATCATCACCCAAACTCAGCCCTAGTCCTTTGAATTCTTGTCCGATCTATGGAGTCCTATGGTTGTACGAAGCCTCTACTTGTCTCCCATCCCCTTGGTTATTCGATTATGTGGTTTTTGTGGAAGAACCTCGAAGAGATCTGGTCCAGATCTCGTTCAAAGCTCTTCAAGGGTTCGTCCATGGTTTGCGAGTAATTTCTATTGAAGTTCCATGGTTCAAATCTCTGGTTCAAAACAAGGTTCTCTTTACCCCTCCCCTTTCTCCTTAAAATCCTAATCTTTGGACATGAATCTGTCCCGATCTTTGTAGATCTGGAAGGATTCTGTGATGACCCAAAAGGTCATCACTTGTTTTAAAAATAAATTCTACATTTTGAGGCCTTAAAAACCTCTTCTGGCATCACCTCAATTTGTATGTGCAGTCCGAGTGCGTAGCTAGAAAGCCATTATGTGAAAATCTGTGAAAAATGATGAATTTTGACTTTAAAATGGATTTAAGTTGTCTTCGGTCAATATTTTGGGTAAACGGACCCGTACCTGTGATTTGACGATCCCGGAGGGTCCATAGAAAAATATAAGACTTGGGCGTATGCCCGGAATCAAATTCCGAGGTCCAAAGCCCGAGAAATAGATTTTTAAAGAAAATTATTTATGAGTTTTGGAAATGAAACGTGTTTAAAACTTGATGGTATCGGGCTCGTATTTTGGTTCCGGAGCCTGGTACAAGTCTTATATGTGATTTAAGATGAGTCTGTGAAATTTGGTAAGAAACGAAAGTCGTTTGAGGTTATTTGGACCCATAGTTGTTTAAATTGATACTTTGAAAGTTTTGAGATTTTTCTTAGATTTCTATGCTAAATTCATTGTATAAGAGGTTATTTTGGCGATTCGATCACACAGATAAGTTCATATGATGTTTTTGAGTTAGTATTCATGTTTGGTTTTGAGCCCCGAGGGATCGGGTGAGTTTCGAAGGTTTTGAACTTAGGAAAAAATTGTAGGTCTTTGCTGTCTCAGAGCACAGAGGTTTTGTTCTTCGCGTTCGCGTGGGTCCACTCGCGAACGCGTAAGGCAATTTCCTTAAGTTCCAGTTTGCTCTTCGTGAATGTGGAGCTTGGGACGCGAATGCNGGGGGGGGGGGGTTCACAAATGTTCTATGCGAACGCGGTCGTCTGACCGTGAACGCGAAGGCTCCAGGAGTTGAAACTCCTCGAACGTGAGTCGTCGAACGAGAAAGCGAAGGTCAGCTAGGCCTGACCCATCGCGAATGCGACTGGCCTATTGCGAACGCGATGAAGGCCTGCCCAGTGATTTTTAAACAGTAACAGAACATACGGGATTTCACCAAAATTTCATAACTTCTTCTTCCAAACTCCAAATTGGGCGATTTTTGTAAGAGAACTTCACCACAAATCCATAGGTACATAATCTTAGACTCATTTTCTTCAATTTCCATTAACGCCCATTAGATTTCTAGGCCTAAATCGTGTTCTTAAAGGTAGAAAATTAGGGATTTGCGTAGAGTTACGGATTTTTGTATAATTGGGATTTAGACCTCGTTTTGGGGTCAGATTTTGGAACTAATTACATATTCGGGCTCGTAGGTGAATGGGTGATCAGGTCTTGGTCCGAACCTCGTGTTTTGACCATGCGGGACCGGGGTCAATTTTTGACTTTTAGGAAGAATGATAGGAAATCTATAATTGAGCATTTGAAATTGGATTGTTTAGCGTTTAGTGATGTTATTAAGTCGATTATGTCTAGATACAATTGATTTGGACCCAAATTCAAAAGGAAAAGCGGTGTTTGAGGCTTGAGTTGGTCGTGGATGTTCAAGGTAAGTGTTTGGTCTAACCTTAGCTTGAGGGATTAGGGGTTGTGTCCTATTTGCTATGTGTTACTTGTTGAGTACGATGTATAGGCATGGTGATGAGTAGCTATACGTTGGTGTCAAGCATGACCGTGAGTCTTAAATTGAAATTGTTGTGTTCTTAGCAAATACTACGAATGCCTAAATTGTTGATTCTCTGTGTTGAGCAAGGATTATGATTGTTCTCATGGAAATTACTTATGATTGAGTATTGGTGTTAGTTGTGGAAGTTAGATATTGGAACAGGTTTGGTTATAACTGATTTTTCCCTTGCCGGGACGTATTTACTTATACTATTGATTTTTCCTTGCCGGGATAGTGTTGTTTCTTTATTGATCCCTTTCCGAAACTTTTGTTGTGATTGGTGTTGAACTGTATATGTGGATCGGGTTGCGTGTCGCAACAATATTATATTTGGATCGGGTTGCACGCCGCAACAATATTATGCTTGGATCGGGTTGCACGCCACAATAATAATACAACTGGATCAGGTTGCACGCCGTAACAATGTTATTATGTTTTGGGGTCGGGTTGTGCGCCACAACAATAGATAATACAAAGTGCTTATAGACTGGTTACGAGTTCCTTATTATTTTGCTGTAAATTCTAAATTGTCCTTATGCCTTTCTCTTAAATTATTGTTGGTACTGATATTTCCCCGTAGCATGTTTCCCCTTCCCAGCTTTACTCGTTTATTCCAATTTTTATTTTTCGATGTATACTATATAACTGCACAGGTTTATTTGGTAGTTTGGTCCTAGCCTTATCACTACTTCACCGGGGTTAGGCCAGACACTTACTAGCACATGAGGTCGGTTGTGCTGATACT